CCGTGCGTCATTTCCCAACACTACTGTGACTAATAGCTCTCCAAACTTAAATGGCCAGGCATTATCTGAATTTAGAAAAGCTACTATTTTTGAAGTTAGAGAAATGATCAAAGAATCTGGCATCAAAACCTCATCGATTGATCCACTACCTAAAGAACTCCTGTCAGAGCACCTTGAGCTAATCCTTCCTACCCTTTGTGATATTATCAACGTTTCCCTTTCAACCGGGAGTATGGAGGGAATCAAGCTAGCACATCTCACTCCTCTTATCAAAGGTGATTCCCTAGACACAGAGAACTTAAAGAATTATAGGCCCATCTCTAATCTTACATTCATCGGTAAACTCATTGAGCGCTTTGTATTAAAATGCCTTAATGAACATCTAACCAAGAATAATCTCAACATTGACCACCAGTCTGGTTACAAAAAGCATCATAGCACAGAGACACTCCTCATTACCATAGTCAATGACCTCCTTATAGCCAGCAATGAAAGCACAGCTACAGTTGTAATGCTTTTAGACCTGAGTGCTGCATTCGACACTGTTGATCACAGCAAATTAATCAACATATTGAAGTATGAGATTGGGATTGAGGGAACTGCCCTAAAATGGTTCACCAGCTTCATCCGTGGCCGTTGTCAAAAAGTCAAGATCGGTGACCTAGAATCTGTAGAAATTATTATAAAGTTTGGTGTCCCACAGGGCTCAGTCCTTGGCCCTGTGTTGTTCAATATCTACATCCGCTCCATTTATTCTTCTGTAAAATCAAAGCAATTTCTGATCCATGGCTATGCTGATGATCATCAGATTTACAAGTCATTTTCGTCTGCTACAGAATATGAGGTCCTTAGCGAAGACCTGCCTTCCTGCTTTCAAGAAATTGAGAGCTGGATGACGGATCACTTCCTTCTACTGAATCTTACAAAAACGGAGATTATAGTTTTTGGTTCAAAACGTTTATTGTCGGAGTTAGAAATTGGTGGTGTCTTCCTTAAACCTTCTGTCTGTATAAGACTCGTTAATGTTACTAAAAACCTTGGCTTTACATTGGATTCCTCACTGTCTCTAAATCCTCAAATAAAGAAGCTCAAAGCTGCAAACTGCCACAAGATGCGAAACATTGCAAAGATGAAACCATTCCTCTCTGAAGCCCAAATGCAAATCATCGTACAATCTCTTGTTATTAGTTCCCTTGACTACTGCAATGTACTTTACTTTGGAACGAATCATTCTGTTTTGAAACAGCTACAATCTCTGCAAAACAGAGCATGCCGCTTAGTTAAAGGTCTAAAGAGGAGAGAAGAAGTTGAGCCCTACTTAAAAGAACTTCATTGGCTCAAGGTACAAGAACGTATTGAATTTAAAATACTCCTGCTAACTTTCAAACTGCTCCATGGGCTAGCACCTTCATACCTGTCAAACCTTGTCAAGTACAATTCCAGTGGTGGCAGAGATGTGTCTCTTCATTGCCCCATAAACAGTCCACCCAGAGCCTTCTCTTCATCTGCTCCAAGATTATGGAACAATCTTCCTCAAGAAATCAGGAAATGTGTAAACATCAAGGACTTTAAGGGAAAACTTAAAGCTCACCTGTTTAGAAAGTCCTTTGATTTGTACTGAGTAACACATCAGTGTGCAATCAATCCAGTGTGCAATCAATCTCAGTGTGCAATCAATCTTCAGTGTGCAATCAATCTTTTCGCTTGTGAGTTGATATCAGTTGTCTCTTATCAGTAAATAGGTAATTGCACTGCCTTTTACTGTGCAGCTTTGCTATACACAATATGGAATTTTCGGTCAGTACACTTCACGAACTGGAGAAACAGATTGAGGACTTATCAGACTCGGTTTTAGCGAATCTTAATTGCAGGAAACTAGAGGACCTCACTCATGACTTGTTCAAGCCAAAAGGCGTTACAAAGGATGTAATAACCGAAATAGTTTTGAAGATGGGGTCTATGATATGTAAATCGAGAAATGTTTTGAGATCAGCAGCAGAGACGCTTGACCAACAGAAATCAGAACAGATAAAAACTCAGAACGAGCTCATCCAATGCAAATCTGGTAAACTAGCTTCAGTGAAGGAGACAGTGAAAACAGAAATGAAACTGTTTACAGATGTTGTGAAGAATAACAGCGTAGCTTCTGATATCTCTCCAGCTAAAATCAAAATGGCTGTGAAATCGGCGATTACAGAAGATGATCGGTCGAAAAACTTTATCATCTTCGGGGCCCCAGAACAGCTCGAATGTGAAGAGCAAGAAATGAACGAACGGGATCTCGTGGGTGATATTTGGGGTTTTATGAAGTTCATTGGAAGGCCGACTATAAAAAACATTGAGAGAGTGGGAGTAAAGAAGTCTGACAGCCCTCGATCACGGCCGATAAAAGTTACTTTGCGAGATCCTGAAATTGTACGTGAATTTCTGAGCAGAGCAAAAGTCTTGAAATCGGTTGATGTGGCAGACTACAATTTCAACTACAACAAACTCTACTTATCTCCAGACAGGTCGCAGGATGAGCGAATCTCTCGCCAAAAGCTCGTACAGGAAATGAAAGAGGGAATCAAGAAGGACCCGAGCAAGAAATATTACATAAAAAACAATAAAGTTTGTGTCGCTGAGTGACTAATTATTTGAGAAAGTCAAGCATTTGTGTATGTGTGTGACGTTAATTTCATGAAGTTAAAACTTTTTGTATAACTGAGAACAGAGGTTAGAGGAACTACTGATAAGAGTATGATTAGACTGTGTTGCGTTATCAGTTGACTTTTTGCATCACCTTTCTAGATTATACGTAATAGGGTAACTTAGTTATAGAATAGGATTTTAGTTGTTGCAAGCATTGCACTAAGGTTTTAAGTTAGGTAAGTAGGCCACGAACTGTTGAGCAAACTGGGCTGGAAGCCCAAGCAATATGCAGTTCTGGTCTTGAGGCTATTTTACAATGTTTTATAACATGTGCTTGCAACTAGATCTTGAATGTCGCGTGCCCCACGGGGATTTGATTTATTCATACAATTTATTATATATTGGTTCCAAAGCCCTTATGGGTACCAGCAAAAAACTGGTTTTCAAACAAACAAAATTATATTAGAAGGTTTTAAAAAACAATTTACATCTATAGCAGGTCATATTTACGCTTTAAATTAAATTATTTTAGGCTTTTAATTTTCAAGGATTTTTGGGCAACATTTAAGATAATAATCTTTTTTGCGTTTCATTGTGTCTGCCAACAAAATTGTATTGTAGGTCAGAAGAGGAGGCTCTATCCTGGGACACCAACATTTTTTGGGTTGGCACCCGGGAGAAAGCTACCGGTTATTCTTTGTATTTTGTCTCAAGTACTAGAGCATTTTTTTCCTCTCTTTGTTTCACCGTCTCTACTTTTATGTTGCCCAGATTGTTTGGTATGACTGTATTGGATCTTCAGATATAATTTTTATCGTCAGTTACTGTTCTGCAGTAATCTCTTTCAATCAATTTTTATTGTATATTGGAGTATTCAGATTGTTTGTATATTTGGAGTCTATAGAATTTCTATAGAATTTTTATAGAATTTTTATAGAATTTTTAATATTTTAGGGAATTTCATTTTTATTATCCTGATTTTTACATTTGATAGGCTGATGAGTTTCATACTGTGATTTCTTGCAGTCATCATCCTTTCCTCAAGTCCTCTGTTAGAAAACCTGCTAAGCCTGCTTGTTAGGTGCATCTGCCTTATTTAGTCACGATTTTATTAACAGTTTTTAACGTCTGTTTTCTGAACAGTTTCTTGTTTCACCTAAGGCAAAGATGCACACTCTCGTTAACTTAAGTATCATTTACAGCTGAGCATAAGGGTTAAATTTAAATTATTTAACCTTTTGGTGCTGTATAAAAATAACATTAATTTATTATTATTATAAAGGGTCTCAATAAGAGGTCTCGACTGCCTAGGCGTCAAACCTTGGCAGTCGGTAGTTTTCCTCTGGCCCGGGATCAGCTGACCCTAGGGACCAGAGGGTAAAGGTGTAGAGACTATGTGTATTTACAAATCTTTCGAGGTTGTTTTTACAAGAGACAGGGCTTGCTACGCAAGGGAAGAAAACCGGGAGAAACAATCACAAATTATACAAATAAATATTATAAAACCTAGCAAAAAGAAATTCAAACAATCCTACACTACTACAAATGTTTATTACATACTACAATGTAATACACGATAAATAAATGCTGTATATTCAAGAAACAGGGCTTGCAGGGCAAGGGACGGAACACAGGGACTGGCTACAGAGTGTATAAAACAGTGATTCAGCAAGTACCCATTGGGTATTGCTGAATCTGACCCACAAAATACCACAATCAATACAAGAATATACAATATTTAAACAAACATCATGTTTATACAAGAATCAGGGCATGCAGAGCAAGAGAAGAAAAATAAGAGAAAAACTCCAACACATGTATACCCCTTAGTCCAGTAAATAACAATAATTACTTGTACACAAAACTGTATAATATAAAATACATAACAAATACACAGTCTACCCAATATACGGGTTAAAAATTGTATAAACAAGAGACAGGGCTTGCATAGCAAGGGAAGAGATATTATTATTATTATTATTACTATCACTCATTCGAGGAATACATCGAATCAAAGAATATTCATTTTGACAGTTTCTCAGATGGCTGAAATATGAAGCATAATGAGTTAATTCATTACGTGTGATCAAGTGATTGCATTGACATTAAATCTGCATTATGGGAACCTTGCAGAGAGCCCAATTACAGTGTCGTAGCAAGCTATCACATGATTAGTGATTGGGTAATCATTGATGACTCAATCAATTTTGCTAACAAGATAAACAAATTGCTTGATAACTTCGTCATTCAACATCATATCCGTTTTACCTCATCTTTTCTGATCATATTCCTGATTTCGTCACGACTTTTAGCAATATGTTACTTGTGGAATTTCTAACATGTTTATAGAACAAACTGAAAGTAATGGATCACTGCACACTGAACGCCACAAAAGTCTTGTTGTTTGACTATTTTTTTAACTGTTTACCACTCCCATCAGGATACAACAAACATGGCAAACCGAGATTTGATTGACATACACAAAGATAATTTGTATGACATACTTGGAGTTGCTCATGGTGCTGCAGTAAAAGATATCAACAGATCATACAAAAAGCGTGCTTTAAAAGTCCATCCCGACAAGAATCCAGATCCAGCAGCTCACAAGATATTTTTGAAGTTGACTCAAATTTTGGAGTTACTCACTAATCCTGAAAGTAGGCAAAGTTATGATACCGTCCTTAAGGCCAGAGAAGCTGCAAGGTAAGTAAATAATAAATAAATAAATTCTAATATTTATTACAAGCTTCGACATTAAAACGCTCCCAACGAAGATGTATTTTTAAGGATCATAGACTAGTATGCCAACTTCAGGACATAACCATGTCATAACCATGTCATAACCAGGACAGTCAGGCGTCACAACCATGTCATAACAAATTGTGATAATAAATTCAAAATCGGTCACTAGCCTAGCTGGCTAATGACCGCTTTTGAATAGTCGGCTATTGACCACTTTTTAATTGTGACTTGGTTATGACCTGGTTAGTTGGGAATACAATGTTTTTAGGGCATTATATATATGAATAATACTTAACCTAAAGCATTTTGTTAAAGAAGTAATCTTCAACAAACAAGTTATAGTATAGTAATTGGATATAATGTTTTAATGTATAATCTTCTAAAACAAGACTTTGATGTCGTAAGAATCTTCTTAACTCTTTTTTTTGGCTATCTGCATCATTAATTATTGTAAATTGATTTCAAAGCAAGATTTTATATTATATATTTTTAAGATTGCGCACAACAAAGTTAGATGCCAAACGTAGAAAATTGAAAGAAAGTCTGGAAAGTAAGGAAAATGGTGAAACGTCTTGTACCTCATTACGAAAAGCAGAAAAGTTGTTGCAAGAAACAATAGATAAATTGCAAACTGAAGGTTGGTTTTTATCCTTGTGACTTATTTAGTTTCGTAATGTAGTTTTTTAAGTTTAAAAAAATCCTTATCGCTATCCTTAAGGAAATAGTGCCTGATAATGAATGTAATTTTACTTCAAAAGGGTAAAAACAATTTTAAAATGCAGGTGAAAACTTGCTGAAAAGAGAAGAAGAAAAGTTGCGTCAGGAATTCTCAGCAAAAACAAATTTTGTTATTGCAGATAAGGCCACTCTAAAACTTAAGTGGAAATGTAAAAAAGAAGATACCAGTAACGGAGGATACAGTACAGTTATCCTAAGACAATTTCTTCAAAAATATGGACCTGTTAGTGACATAGTTGTGAATTCTAAAAGAAAGGGGTCTGCACTTGTTGTTTTCAACTCAATAGCTGCTGCAAAAATTTGTATGCAGAAAGAAAAAGGGTTAGAGGCATGCCCGCTATCATTCAGAATGTTACATGAGACTGATACATCTGACATCAAACAGCCATCTCCTCGGACAGACAGTACAAACTCTCAAAGCTATGTGCCATTTCAGCCATCAGAACCTGGCAAATTTGCCTCATTTCCTAGTTTCAATGTCAGTCCTAACATAGCCAGTTTTAACGGAAATGGTGTCGACAAGGACTATGAATCTTTAACTCTCATGAGGTTAGAAATTGTTCAATTTGTATCAATTGAACGTCCTGTGATTGACAGAATGATGAGTGATAACGTTCTTATTGCATGGCCAATGCTATGCATTCTTTTGAAGATCTTTAATTCTTTTAATATTTCCTTTAATTAAAAGTTTTAAATGTTTTAATCTCTTAATCCTAGGCTAAGACAAGCGGAAGAAAGAAAGCGACTGATAGAACAGATCCAACAGAAAGACGACCATGATGGGGATGGATTGTGAAAATGTTAAAAAGCCTAGAATTTAGGAAGCAGAAATCGATCAATTTTATTGACAAAAATTTAGCTATGTTGTTGTAAGATTTATAAATAATTATAAATATATATTCTGAATTGATATATTCACGCCATTTATTTACCTCTCAAATTTTGATCAATTTTATCAAGTAAATGAAATTTGTCTACCTGTTTTGTTAATCCTTTCAAGTTTACACCATATAAATTAATATCCTAAAGGCAGCTATATATATAAGTTCAGTTAACAACAAGACGTATGGAGTCAAGTCTGGATCAGGTAGGCTTCTTCCATATTTTCAGTCTTCGATTTTTCTTTACATACTATTTAGAAAGGTTAGCCTTATCATGTGACGAATATAACTAGTCTCTATCAATTTGACGAATGTTACTATATCCCAAACACGGTTGCTAAACGTTTTGTGTCACCAGTTTACGTTTAAAATCAGTCCACCAGCAGTATTAACAAAGCCTATCACTTCAGTTTACGTTTAAAATCAGTCCACCAGCAGTATTAACAAAGCCTATCACTTCAGTTTACGTTTAACATCAGTCCACCAGCAGTATTAACAAAGCCTATCACTTCAGTTTCCGTTTAACATCAGTCCACCAGCAGTATTAACAAAGCCTATCACTTCAGTTTACGTTTAACATCAGTCCACCAGCAGTATTAACAAAGCCTATCACTTCAGTTTACGTTTAACATCAGTCCACCAGCAGTATTAACAAAGCCTATCACTTCAGTTTACGTTTAACATCAGTCCACCAGCAGTATTAACAAAGCCTATCACTTCAGTTTACGTTTAACAGCAGACCGGCAGCTGCAAACTTCCAGCCCGGCTGTAAAGACCAGGGAAGACCGGACAAGGAACAGTTCAAGTACACAGTGATCATATGCAACAACACATGCTCTGTTTGCCAGTACTGTCATATCAAGGTTACTATCTCAGTTATTCAATCATTTACCCTCATTTAACCTCGCTACCTTGCTTAAACTAATACAGTTCAGTCTGTAACCACAACTAACATTTCTGCTACAAAGCTACAAACATATTATGTACCTATTAAGTACATACTATGGGATAAAACATTAATTAAGTACTATGGGATAAAACATTAATTAAAGTTTCGTTAATTATCTCGACCCCAAAATTGCACTGTTTCTACATTTTTTTACACCATACATGAAAAAAGGCAAAAGTGTAGTGTAAAAAAGTGTAGTGAACTTAAATCTTAAAAATTTCGTTTTTCTTACTGGGACTGAACTAGCGGTGAAGGAAATATCAATATATTGTTTCGTATTGTTTCAAGCTTATTAATTGAAGAATATTTTTCTGAGTAAGAACCATCCTAGATAAAGCAGCAAGACCTGATGCTGATGACGAAGTCTCAGAGGACGACAAACGATGCATCGAACACTCCATGCTTTTATGGCTTCCATTGTGACTGCTTTTTTTTGTTAGTCAATTCAAACTTATTTAAAAAAATACGAAATCACACAAAACAAAGCCAGTGGGCACCATTTGCATTTTATCGTAATGCAGCCGATAGCAATACTAGATCGCTCTCATTCAAGTATTAAACATTCCAGAAGTGAATAAAAAACTATTTTGCAGGTCATCAAACGTTCTTAAAAGCTCTACAGAACTGTATGGGTTTAACAGTCTTTCTAAATACCATCGACATTACATCGCTAGAAAAAGTGAGTACTCCTCCTTGACATTACATGGCTTGAAAAAGTGAGTACTCCTCCTCGACATTACATGGTTAGAAAAAGTAAGTACTAAACATTCTATTTTCAGTATCAAAGTCGCAGTCAAAGGCTCAAGTCGGCGGATCACGGGAAATTCCGGGTGATTTGAAAGTGGGATACTCAATATTAGATCGGAGGTTCAACCACTACTGTGAACAATGTAACATGGCTATGCTTGCAAGTGACATTAAAATCGGTAAGCTGCACTTTTCTCCAGAAAGATAACTGCTTCTTGATTTATTTCATTTATATAATTAACACGATTTACTCAAGAATTTTCCTCATCAAATCAAATTATACGCCACCAACCCATTAGCTCTCAAGTTCATAGCTTGTGTAATATTCGGATATAAGCTTGTCTAAATTTTCTGATTTTCACAGCGGGCATTCTGAAGAAGCACAGTGATTTGGTAGTTTATCATCCGAGATGCTTCTCTCAAGCTTTTGAAAGACACCCTGTAAAATTGCAGGTTCGTACAAAGATAGGTTCTCTACTTTTCAAGACACCACTTTGGGGTCCAAATTTTGGGCACTAAAATTTTTATGTCTTGGCCAATTTATTATTTTTTTCATGCCGATTTGAAGGTCATTAAGGCATTTGACCCAGTCAAAAAAGTCTCAGTTTTATATCTTTTACGGTTTTTGCGGAACGTCGTGTTAAAGTTGATGCCGTGGTGTCAGTAAAATGGTACGGATATACATATATATATCGTCTCGCTTTATATATAGAGAGAACATGCTTTAAGAACATGCTCCCATTTTTTTTCAGGGGCTGGAGAAGCTATTACCGTACGATATATCCGGACTAAAGTCAATACTGAACATTATCACTACCTCAAGTACCCCACATAACAAATATCAAAGCAAGTCTACCCCAATTGAAAATGTGATGAAGTTTAGATCCTCAAAAGACGCTTTCTTCTGGCCACGTGCCAACTCTTCTTCAGGACCTGCCAATATGGTAACTATGGTAACTGTCACTATATGGTAAATAGTACAGTGGGTCATCCTTTAATTAACAACTGGTCACGATGAATACTCAACATTGGTACAGCAATACCCTGATTTACTGCGGAGTTTGGGAGAAAGGGAAAAGATGTGGTAAATCGGGGTCTTGATTGTTTACATTATGTATGTTGAGCCCTATTTGGGAGAGAGAAGATGGCCGCGGTAAATCGGGATTTGCGGTAAATCTGGGTTTTATTGTAGTTCCATTTTAGATTTTGTAAATTCTGGAGGGATTTTGGCCAAATAAAAGTGATAAAAAGTGTTTATCTCCTCAGGAAGAACAGAACACAGCCAGCTCCTCCTTCTCTTCCTCGTCTGGTGACAAGATATGGGACTCCCTTCATCCATCACGTCAACAACCTCCCAATAATCCCAGCTACAAATCACGGAGTAAACCATCCTCGTTCGATGATTTGATACGAAATCATTCGAATAGAAACCCAGATAGTGTCCATCGTGCTATTTCCAATCCGCCAAGGACTGCTGATCTTTCCAGAAAAAGAAAGACTTCATTCAAACCAAACACGGACCACTCAAATTCACGATGGTCGAATCACGGTAGTGATCCTAAGAAGACTGCCAACCCGCCTAAAAGAGAGCAATCTCACGAATCTTGTAGAACTTCTGATTCTCATTCAGGGTTCAGTAAGGAGTCTGACCCGGAAACGTCGGAACCTTCCGGTAAGGTGGAGCTAAAGAAGAGTACTATCCGGAGTGAAATAACCAAGATATTGTACAAATATAACCACGACTACATCACATCCAAGATAGTTCGGACCATGTTGATGCAGAAGTTTTTACTCTCGAGCTCCAGTGCAAAGGTTTCATCTTCCCCTACCCACCCCAACCCCTGGATTAATCAGTGAACTTACCACCAATTTGTCTCAGAATACCCATTTGTCTCAGCTAAAGAGGGTTAAGTGTACTTTTACCGCCGCTATATACCTGTTATCAATACTGGTAACTTTTTCCCGTGCCATCCTCACCTGTGCTGAGTTCCCAAGACTCTCTACCCCGTTGAGGAGACCAACTTCATTGGTCTCAGAGTATTTGGTTTGAAAAAACTTAGTTTGGAATATTAAAACTTGGGCCTATACCGTGCCTTTGTTATGAGATTCCATAGAAAGCAGCCCATTACAGAGCGTTAGATTTACCCTAAATTCAAGAAAAAACAAAGTATCCACGAGTTCAAGTCGCTGTGATGTCCTGGAACATCCAGGACTGCACAGGAGACGGGTCTAACAAATTTGAAAATAGCGAAATTTTTGTCAATACTCAAACAAAGCAACATTCTTTGTTTCAAGAATACAAAGAAGAAGTTAAGATTGAGGGATCTCTCTTTTAATAGCAACCGCAAAAATTCACGCCAGGAAGGGGTCTGCATTCTTGCTGAAAATGATAAGAAAAGGTGTCTCTAGTGTTGCTTTGTAATGAATCTGATGACATTATTGTGTTAAAACTGGACAAGAACTTTTTTTAAACTTTGATTTTGACCGATTTTTGGTTTGTTATTATATTAGCCCTGCATACTCGTCCTTTGTCAAGAAGAATCCAGAGTATTCTGCTAATACTTCTTGCTCTTGACTGTGTTGATCAGGACTACGTCAAAAGGAGAGTTATTATGTGTGTTGGGGGGGCCGATGCAAGCAAGAAACTGAAAACTCCCAGGGACTATATCCTTTCTGTAATGCACTGCCATTCATGAAACCTATAACGGACATTGGACAATCGGCACGACATAGATGAACCAAGAAAAAACAATTCTGACCTTCTATTCTGAACCACTGCCACACTTCCTTGACATGGTTATCAATAACCAACTCAAAAGTTTAATGGTCGTATCCCTTGGGGACACCACTGGATCAAAAATGACGTCACAAATACATTGGAAGCAGGTGGTTGACTATAATTTGTAATCACCTTCTTGGGCAGAGATCATGTAAAACTCTCTCCAGTAAAAAGGAGTTTACATCATACTCTGATCAATGTCCATTAGTCTTGAAACTCACTTACATGTGAACCATTTGTCGCAAACTTCCAGCTCCCAGACTTTTCAACTTACCTTGGGGCTATAAGTGGGACTGAAACACCTCCCATTTACCACTATTTAAAAAAGCCCTATACCTCGCCCGAAATTTTCAAACAATCTGGAAAGCATTGGACAACTGAATTTAGCAGTACTCTGGAGGGCAATCACAGAACGACGATGCAGTCTTAAAATGTCTCACAGTGCTGTGATTTAGCCTTAAAAGTGAAAAGCACTCCAAAAAATTCTGCCCGTAAAAAATGGTTCGACCCAACAGTACTCTCGCGGCGGAACCTTCATAGGCTTGCAATCGGCTGGTAGTAAGCACTGTATCAGTTCCTCAGACTGAATATTTTAAGAACAACGCAACAAGCATAGCAATTTTGTAAAACAGTAAGAAAGTAGCTTTCTTAAGGTAGTTAATTGAAGCTATAGAAGAAGGTCAAATTAATCGACTGGAAAAAAATTTAAACGGCTTATACAAGAACATGACATAGCCCCTTACTTGGACAATTTGATTTTAGCTTGCTTCCATGACCTTCTTTGCATCCCTTTTATGAAACACCAGACCAGGTGCCAGTTCTCCACTCACCACAATCCACTAAACATTACCCTGTTCCACCAGATCTGGATATCCTAAAATAGCCTCATGTCAGAATCTGAAGTGACCTCTGCCATCAAAAATCTCAAAAAGGTAAAGTTGCTCAAAACGGACTTGATATCCAACGAAGATGCTTCAGAGGTAACTCCCGGCTTTGTCTCAAAGCCATCCTCAAAAACTTCAACCACTTCACTGGTCTCCGGTTACTATCATGGCACACCAGCATCATTACCTCTATTTCAAGTCTGGCAACCCTTTCAGCCGGACAACTACAGAGCAATAGGCTGTTGTAGCTGTATGGGTAAACTGTTCTCTAGATCTTACTTGAGGTTCTCCTGCAACTTTCAAAAAGCTCTACTGCCCTGACCCAAAAGAAACAACTAGGGTTCTCGGGAAGGGTGCTCTAAAACAAATGACCACGTTTTTTACCCCTTAAGACTGTCATTGACAAATATACCAAGGTTAAAAAAGCTCGTCTCTATGCATCGCTTTGTTGTGATCTAAGACAGGCCTTTGACACTGTATGTAGGACCTCCTTCTGCACAAAATCACATGCCTTGGGAATAACGGGAAAAACTTCTTCCAATTGCCTAAGTGATATGTATAGAACTCAATAGCTCCATATAAAAATCTCCAATACTCTTGTCCCCTAATATTGGACAATTGAAAAGAACAGGCAGGGACACCTCTATCACCGGACCTTTTTATATCTATATCAACGGACTTGTCATCTCTCCGGAAATCTGTTGGTGATTATCTATTCTAGCTGACGTACTAATATCACATTCTGCTTGGGCTGACGTTCTTGTCCTACTTGCCTATGTCCAGGCCTTGCAAGACAATATATATAAAACATCCTATTCGACTTCTGTAACTCTTTGGGCCTTGAAGTAAATTAAAACCAAGATTCTCATATTCTGACTCTAAAAGAAACTAATCCTATGAACATTATTTTGGGAGGCCAGCCCATCCAACACACCGACAAATACTGCTATCTGGCATTATATTCCACAGAAATGGAGCTTTTACAGCAGCAAATTACTGAACTGAGGGCCAAGGCTCTCCGTGCTCTCTATGGCCTCAAAGGCAATATCGTCCAAAGATGCCCCTCTCTAACCGTTCTCTAATACATTCTATTTGACTCTCTAGTAAACGAACTGCGGTATGGCTGCCAAATCTCTATGTCCTCACTCAAAAACTCATGAGATAACTTCCAAAACAGATAGCAAAGCTACCCCAGCATTACTCTCAGGTACATCTCCCAAGACCACTATGAAAGATTCACCTTAGTTTATCCAAGTGGTCCTTGTCTGTCCATTCAAAATGCATCAATTATAGGCTGCTGGGTGCGAAAGTGGGAGCCACCCCCTTTCTTTGAAGCTGCAAACTTGACAATAGATTTCTATACTCGCCTTGAAAAGCACTGAAAATGAATTCTCTCCGATGCCATTTCACGAGCAGATTATGATGGGCCTTCCATTGTACACCAACATCTCTAATCTTCTCACCAAATTTACTTCCCCCCACTCATCCTCTTCATATTTTCCAAGCTCTTACCCAAATCAGTCACAACATGAGAAGAATTTTGTGGATACCTGGATATTGCCAAGGCAATTCCTCACCTAAATTTAGAATTCCTACAATACAAATTACAATTGATTTTGAACCAGAAACATACTTAGGGTGGTTAAGATCCCTCGATGCTCGAAAAGCGTAAACAAGGTTTCGTATTAGCTGCACAAATCTTTACATTGAGAGGGGCCTTTACGAAACCCCCCTTAGTATCCAAGAGAACTCGATGGTGCACTTTTTCGCTTTTTCAGCAGGGGCTTATGCCTATTGTGGAAGAAATATCATGTTCTAACTTGAATGTTTACTTACTCCTCAGTTAGAGAAAATTTAACTTCCATCCCATATATTTACTGACTAGCCGGTTTGCTATCGATAAAACACTAGACCCTACAAATTTACTGCCACAGCAAGAGCATTCCATTCATTCTCTCTGTGAACGAAAAATTTTACAGGCCTCTTAGAGCCCAGATTTTCCACTCAAATAATGCCAATGCATAGTGCTTTAGGACCTCAAAAATAGTAATATTAAAACATTCTATGTTTTAGCCTACAACATCTGTAAATAACTAGAATTGTGTAACCTTTACATTATTTCAGAATTATAAACTATTGTGAATTCAATAAAATAGTTATCTTTTTGTATCCTTGTATCCTTGTATCTTGTATCCTACATGTTGCACCTCAATGACTGTAAATCAGACATTTTGGGCCGCCAAATTTTTTTAATGGCCTAAACTCAGATTTCTGTCCCAAAACTTAAGGTCATGAGACAATTCTATGTGTATTCTGCAAATTCATGTGGAATAATATGACAACACTATTGAGTTCTAATGTTTTGAGCGAAGTCGTTTGAGATATGGGCAATTTTCGTTCATTTTTTGCGATTATTTTGAACACAGAATCCAAGTTAGGTTAGATATTGAGCTGATATTCATAGAGAAATGTGTAATATATGCTTTCCTGCATATAAAGTTAGTTTTCATCAAAAATATTGATTTTGACCAATTTATGGACCAAAAATCGATCAATTTTGTGCTTATGCCCAAAATATGGATTTGTTTTTGTTTTTATACCATACTCGGCCAATTTTTATCCAATTTTGAAAAAACTTGTTATGTGGTTCAGGAGTCTAGTAGCTACATAGTAGAAGGCATCCAAAGCTGGTTTTTGGGCTAGTTCAGGGTTTTTGACCAACTTTATTTGCTGGGGGGTGCGTTAGTCCTATATTCTGGGGGCCTCGTAAAATTGTGGTGGCCATAACTTTTTTCAAATTGTCTGTTTGCAGATGTCTCGATGAAAAGATAGCTTAAAATAATACTTATACTCCATACCAAGTAGTCTTTAATGGCATGTGTTGGACAGATTTTGGTATGACAATTTTTCGCCATATTTTACTCCTCTAGAAAATGACATCATCGTTTAAAATCTTTCGCTGTCATGACCAAATATACCCAACTAACTCATGTAGGTCAAAATTTTTATTCAGACACATAAGTTACATGTTTTTACGCCAATCCTAGCAGTATCAGATCCATTAGTATCGGTTATATGGTAGAACTGTATCCACTTTCATGACCTATATTTTGGGGGCCACCTATATTCTGGGGGCCCTATACCGTATTAAAATTAGAAAAAAATAGGAAAAACCCGTCAATATGGGGCATGGG